CCCGGCTGCGTCACAGGGACTGAGGTTTGCGACCAGGTATACTAGTTTAAGCTTTTAGTGTATATTGCTTCTTCATTTTTCCGAAAAAAATTCTTTGAGCCTCCCTTGCCGTTGCACCACTGCCGATAAATAAAAATTTATACAAACACTTTAAGTGTTCAATTCAAACAGGGTTCTTTTTTTAATATCGGTCATGCACAGGTCCATCTTTGCCAACACTGTAAGATGTGTAATTTGATACTGGTTAAATGCGGCGCCGTTTCATAACGTCAGTCAATTACACGCTTAACATAACAAGTTTAACCTTCACCCTCTTGATTTTGTTGGTCTATATACTGTAGCATTTAACAATCGGGAAGTCCCTTTATTGATCTTAGATTTCAAATCCGTAGTACTTTTCAAATCAGTTGAATACAAAACAGGTTCATGTTTGGTATCTCTTTCAGTTTGATTTCAGTCCAGCTGGAAGTTTAGTTGGTGTGGCTACTGACACTCCGAAAAATGGGCAGAATTAGACCATGCATGTCTTATCTTGAGACCAACTTCGATACCAGCATTGGTGACTGTACCCAATACCTCTTGTTACTATATGACATTGTTGGTATCTAGAATTCCCATTAAATGCCCAATATTTATCCAATCACATTTAACCTTCGGTTGGTCTTCAGAAATTTTTGAAGAAAACAGCCACATGTGAGGTGTTACGTGTGAGTTACGAGCGGTTGATCGTGGTTCCATACGTCGGCGATCCCTTCAGTGTTGTGATCATCTATTTCACAATTTAAGCAGCATTCTTCATCTATCAACAGTCTCTCCTCACACTGGTGTTGCTCTTAAGATATCATATCGATTTTAATATAAGTACAATGACTTAAAAGCTTAAGTTGGGAATGCAGTGTGGCAAAATCGCTTTAAAAAGAAATCCTATTCAATTGGATTTATAATAATTCTAATAATAAAACGTTTTGTATAGCGCCAAATCTGCAAAATTTGACTCCCTGGACGCTTCAAATACTATTAATCGTAACAATGTTGAATTTATATTAACCATAAACAATGTCAAAACAAACTAGACAAATAATAAACTTAAAGAAACTTTAGACAAGTTAATGGTCCTCTCTTTATTGACTTAAAAGAGCTGCAGAATACTTATATTGTACTTACGAGAGCTGTGGAAGATTTACATTGTATTAATCTCCCTGCTGTACTCACAGGATATTCTCGTAGCCGTATCAGTTTTGCTACGTGGCCCGCTATTGTTGAAGTGTAATTATAAAAATTCAGTTCATTTCTTTGTTCAAATAAATAATTCATTTTTGTGTTTGGCAGATCTTCTGTTTGGTCTTCTGTTCGTTTGAGTTATCCCTCAAATTTTAGACTGAGTGGAGCGGCACTTGTGTTTGCTCTGTGGCATACACGATACCGCAAACTTTTAGCCTGTAGCTGGTTTTACTTTCTTGTTAAGATTCACAATCAGCCAAAACCTCCCCTAAATCATCCAACATGAAATCCCGTATATCTCTTGGCCTCAGATTCTCCTCCAGATCTTACTTCTACACGACTATCGACTCCTTCTGACTCGAATTCGTCTCATCCAGGATTCGTCTGCCGATGGTGTTGACCGTTTGGACAGCTAAAGTTGTCGTCCGTGGACACCTCTCGTGATCTTTACATGTAACCAGACGGAGAACGGCATTCTGTGCAAGGAAAAGGCTATTGTTTTAGTCAGTGAAAAATGAGACAGCTACGAAGTTCCAAATTGAAAACTGGCGAAAGAAACGTAAAAGCAGGGGTGCAAAGGCTTACAGTTTGGCATTCTACCCCGTACACACCTTGGCGGACCGAATAAAAAATTCAAATATGAATGCACATTCCGTTTTTTATAACTGGCCCGCGTCACATGCCCCTTCAGCCTATAGGATGTCTTTATTAAACAACCCAAAGATGCGTTCGTCGAGGCAAAGAATGCGCGCAGAAGTGGGATGCACCACACTCGAGGCGTCGGCTCGGATTAGTCAATAACTGAAATGCTAGGTCGGCTAACCTTGAAAATTTGTTACAGAAAGAGGGGAAAGATGCCCTTAGACACATGCCGCAGGGCTTGTGTAGCATAAGAAGTCCAACTTGGAATAGAAGAGTTTTAGATCTATGAATACCCTCTGAATTCATGTCTAATGATGGGTGTTCATGTCTAACTCTTGCGCGTCCGTCTCATTTGTATTTGCGAGGAAGCCAGCGAGCACCTAATGGTAGCAGAATCCTGAGGAAAACGTCACTTCACTGGGACTTTGCGAAGTAGTCTTAGTTATCAGAATAACAAGATCTTATCAGGAATATTGAAAAGTAAAAAAAAAAAAACTTGAAGGCTAACAGTTTCGCAGTTCCAAATCAAGCGGGGGAGGGAGAGAGTTCGCCTGGAGAGATACGCATTTTTTTTTTTTTTTAGAGCGGAGCACATCGCCTTTCAGTGGGAGATCAAGAGTGGAGTATTTTTCCAGGGATAACAAAGTCGGAGATTTTTTTTAAAATCAATTTGACACACTCAAACAAGATCTAGAGACGCCACTATGGCATCGTCACTGCACAAAGTCAACTTTTGCCTGCTGCCAATACAATTTTAATCCTTCTGTTCACCAGAAGACGATTCCTCGTTTCCTCCGAGGAAGCGCCAGCCTCGTCAGCATCGGTGGAGACGACCAGGTCAACTGTCTGGCAGAATGTGACCAGAGTTTTCAGGCAAAGAAGACCTGCCATGGCCACTGTGAATCCTTGCTGTTTTTTACCGAGAGTATACGTCGTACGCGATGTCATATTAAAGCTATAGTGGTGCTTCACCGAGTTGAGAGTGTCAGGTAGAGTGGACGGAGCGCTCATGTTCATGGCTATGTACTACTTTTCAAAACGGATCTTTGCTCGAAGGTCGTTGGAATTTCAGGCCAAGTTGAACACATAAATTTTCGTGGCTTGCCTCATTCGTTTACAGGTCGTTAAAAATAAATCCGATTGGAGACATAAAAAGTAATGAGCGTACCTCAGTGAATGTTAATTTGTGGCCCAAAATATACACTGATTGAGATGCCACTAAGCCCTTAAAATTCAAATATTTCAGCAGTTAGGAATAATTAAGTTCATTGTTTATAATGCCATTTTAGTGTACTCCCGTGCGCTTACTCGACGGTACCGAAACCCTGTAACGTACAAAAATGCGCAGAATGATTAAGATGTCGTGCTATTTCAATCTATTGTGTACCTATGTGCTGCAACTCCGTGAATGGCTTTGAGTTGCTTTCCCAACACAAAATGCAAAGGTGACTCGACTGGATGTAATTTTGGGTTATCCCTGTCAAAATCATATTCCAGGTTCAAAATCACATCCACCCTAAGAACCTTTGCATTTTTTTGTGGGGAAATCGCATCCATGTGGTCCTCCGTGTAATGATATGTACATGTAGGTTATTCTCGCGGGCTCTTACCAACAGTAAAAATAATCTAGATAAAATGCAAGCCTAATTAGCAACCCTTTTAGAAATAAGACTAAGACTATTAGTTAATGTTTACATTTTCATCCCTGTCCACAGATGCTGTTCAAAACACGTTAATCCCTCTGATTAGACGGCTTATGATATTTTTATTGCATACTGTTAAAATTGTTAACACGCAAACCAATAAATCCTCTGAATCGAATGCAGTAAAAAAAAAGCATTCATTACTATACCGACGTTGAGTTGCAGGTAGCCGTTAGCACAAACGCCACCATCACTGTTCCTTTCGTCGTGTCGTGTGATGCATTCACGACTCTATTTCATTGCATTGAAAACTCAATGATCCAGAGTTCAGATGCGAGTACACTGTTGGTTGAATACACCACAATCAAGTCATGAATCTGTGTGGCCATTACTAGCTCATATATAAAAACTGATATTGTTGGACGGGTTCCCCACCATCTTTATTTTTGGTAAACTTCAAGATTACAAGTTTGTGAATACGATTATCCCAGATGTACAATGTAACACTTGTTGAGAAAAAGATGGCTTGAATTGGCCAAGCAAACAGGATTAGCGCACTTAAGTTTGTAGATTTACTTGAAGCCAAGATACAGTTATGTTTTATGTAAAACGATATTGGAAAGTGGTTATTAGCTACTTTTATTTGTTTTTTTTATCATAATCCCGAGAATCAAATGTGTATTTGGGGGCTTGTTGAACTCCTTGACGGAGAAAATATAGGTTTTATCACTCTAATTACGTTTTTTGGTTTTCTGGAAGCGGAGATAGCTCGATTTATGTATTTTTAGCGGCCAATTTGAAAATCCCAAACAGCTGCCATACAGGTGTCCACGCAAACGCTAACATTGATTTTGGATTCGCCATGCTCTGATGATTGTAGTAAAGTATAGATTCGCAAATTTCCAATAATATTGAACCAAAAATAAGAAATACTGAATCTGACTACTATATAAATCATCGAAGAGATTTTGTGAACCAATCTGTCTGATTCCCCAGAAGCAATATAGGTCTTTGTGCTTTCAAATGCAAGCGCAAATATCCTCAATCAATTTTAATTTTTGATTTTGCCCTGCCTAACGTGTATTTAACACTGCATACTCAGTGTATGCCCCCAGCTTTGAAATAGCAAATAACCTCATAGTGGACAACAAGGTGACTACGAAAGGTCGTTTCTACCCAGAGGCGTAGCCAGAGGGGGGAGGACTGAGGGCACGTCCTCCAACAACTTATCAGTGCTCCCCCTCCCCCATAAGATGCTGCTGCCCCCTATGTGCCCCCAACAAGTAAAATCCTAGCTACGCCACTGTCTCTGCCACTTTGCACTTTCGGGCAGCTAAATCGATATCAACGAAACTATTTTCCAGTCGTAATATTTTATTTCAAACTGGATTTATTTTAATTGCCTTGGGATGAATAATGCAATTCGCAGAATCGTAGTCATTAATCCCAAATCTGGATTGCATCGTAGAACCCTTACATCTGCGTGTAGTTTTTGTTGGTTACCAAGATTCATGACAGCCATGGTGCCTCGTCTTTGTCTGAACGTTCTCGTTATATTTCTCCTGACGATCGACCAGGTCGTCTGTGCAGATGCTGACGCTGCTGGTCTTTCTTCGGTGAAAACCGTGAACCAGAAGCACCTTATGGTAAACAGATTTTTATCAAAAGCTTGTCATTAAATTATTGCCTCCAAGTTCTGTAAGTAGTATCCTGGAGACAGTTCTGATTTCTTTTGACTCGTACATAAATACGCAGGCCATGTATTTCACCATTTCTGCATCTCGTTAACTTCATTCACTTGCCTAGCCACAATCCCTTTTGGGTTATGTCATGCATAGAAATAGTGTATTCTCAAATTTGACCTTTCTAATTGATCATGATTTCTCTAGAAGTCTTTTCTCCACACACGCTGAAGAGGAACGGTGTCGGAACTAATCACCCTGTAACAGCTTTGAATGACAGCCATCTTGCAGGGATGTTCCTTCTTTGTGCATGTTCTGCGGAACCAAAGCACTGCCCTGTGACATGGCAGTCGTGCAAACCCTTTATAAAACGTATTCTTGTGTATCGGAACAGTAATTATTTGGTCCTCAGTACATCGATGAATGACTTTCAGTGCACTGAACTGGTAAAAATAAAATGATCACTTCTTTATTCTTTGCCCAGCCTGATTGCCCTAAATCGTAAAGCCGCTAGGTCAATTTAGTGTTCAGAATCTTTGTAACAACTTTGCTAAACACCGGACTCTTCCTTCCCCTGTACAGAATGTTCGTTACACCAGACTCAACCAACATGCGACTCGAGGGGCGCCTACGAATGTCCAGCCAGGAGATCTTGGCCCTTCCTGCCGCGAGAGGGCTCGCTTGACCGCAGGGATGGAAGTGACCAGGTCTCGAGCGAGATTCGGAGGATACGGCGGGTTCGGCACGTACGGACACCCACTGAAGGAGGATACGCCGTCTGGTGCCTGAACCTCTCGCAAAATGACAAAGCAGCTGATGTGAAATATTCTTGAGTTTATGTAGCCGCCTCTTTCTGGAGTCAGAATAATTTTTAGTAAGACGCAAGTGGTATCTGCGTTGAGCTGAAGCGCCCCCCGTCAGTTGAAAAGAGCCATGCTGGTGAGAGTTTTCGTTTTGTTGGCAGCGATGCAACTGTGACTCGTGCATTTCCTAGTCGTTGGTGATCCAGCCAAGTGCAGTTCCGACCAAAAGAGCCTCCGTTGCTGTGAGAATGACGCCCTTTATCGGTCCAGATCGTGGGGCTCATACGATTGCACTAAAATAGCTCCCTTTCCCTTGAAATTGAATCTACTATTACTTTAAACCAATTATTTGCAATTAATATTGATGACTTACCGTCGGTTTTCCTTTCATCTGTGGTTTAAGTCACATTCCACTGTTTCTGCTGCGTGTTATTTGTTTAGAGCAAATATGATACGCTGTGTACGATAATCGGCCTGAGGACCGGAAGTAGTAAACGTGGAATTTTAAATAAAAATCAGCGATACAGACATTAACTGGGCTTCATCTTCCGTTGCTTCTTTTTTGTTTTTGCTCATTAGGCGTAATTTGTTGTACGGAATGAGCCCAATAATTTACATTTCACAAAACATCGATAACCTTTTCCTTAATGTACAGCTCCAGGCAAACGTTATTCGTATTGTTTGTCTATGAATGGCAAAAACAGTACAAATTTATGGAAAGATAATTTATTTGTCATTGTATGTTTGCTGCAGCAGAACGTCCATAATTGGGGGCCTCTCACAAATCATAAACAAACTGCGTCCTACTGAAGGTTATAACGATTATTTTACGCAATATATAAGACCTTCACGTTAATTTTTGAGGGAATTAACGTGCTGGGCCGGTCTTAAACGCTCGTTTAAGACCGGATCCGCAGCAATTACAGACCAGCCCGGCACATAATTATTCCCATTCTTACCTTTTAGGACGTAAAGTTTGTCGTTTTGCAATGTTTTTTGTGCATTTTTTCTCATTCATGTTCACGGGCCACTCTTAACTGACTTGTGTCTGCCTCAAGTCAATTTAAAATGGTATGAACCAGATCGGATACCAGACTATAGTTGTCACTGCCATTGAAAATCCAGAGGA